CTTACATGACTGCGTGGTCTAAATTGTCATCTTCATGGTCCAACACACGAAAGTAGGGTCGAAACTGACTGAAGTTGGAGTTATTTTCCATTTGTACGTCGTCTACGTTGTTCGTGTCCTTGAAAGCCAGGCGTCAAGAAAAAGAGTAGTTCGCAAATGATGTGCGTGTCGTACAAGTCTTGCGTGTTCTGATATCTATCGAAAAACGCATTTGATTGACATTCAATTTCCTGAAATTGTTTTGATAGTGCGTAAGTGCGCCGGTAAGAATGGTTGAACTCGACTTCGAAGTGCACTTCAGCTCTTTTGAACTCGATACGTTGCCACAGCCACAAAGTAGGCTACTTAAGTTGAAATTACACCCGTTCACACCTGAAGTAAGATTGAAGTATACTTAAGGTCTACTTACTAATCTAGTATGAACCCACCTATTGTATATAAATTGTAGAAAACTGTAAATGCAGAGAAGAAACTGAAAAAGCGACAGTGAATTGTCATTTGTTCAAAATGACTTTGTGCAACACTTACCTTGCATCAGCCATAGTTTTGGAATCTAGAAGTGGAAAATTATAAGAAAGAGTTTGAGTTTCAGACTTGAATTCATTTTAACAATCAGCATACTTGTGGTAACAGTCCAAAAAATAGTTTTAAGCGAAGGAAGGTCAATATTAAAAGCAAAAACTGAGGTAAAGCCACCCACCTCGATCTTCTTGATCTAAGTACAACCTGCAACTGGCCTGGACAGTAAAAACTAGGGCTTTTGTACACGCGTTTTCCCGTCGTTTTTTCTGCCTCAAGTGCCTCCTCCTGCAATGGTGCAAAATGGTCTGTCGCATGCCACGCATGGTATAGTGAAGGTGTGATTCCACACTTCCCCCTTCCCCCCAATGTCTTCTCAACCTGACTCTCAATTCCAGTAGTTGTGGCCGGTTTTCGGGTTATAGGATATTAAAGGGGGGGATCTTTATCTTTTTTAAGATATTTTTGACAAGGAGTATACGAAGGTGAGTTTGTATGAATACTGATTAGCAGCGAAATGACCAGTGTCCTTTTAATGCATGGCCTGTGCGCTGTGAGATTTTTAATAGTGATAGTGTTTATAAAGTACGTCCAGTGTAATTATCTAATTTCTTTATCTTTTTAGATTGAAAGCGATAGATTTCTGGTCCAATGACGTCTGCAGAAAAATTCTCACCTGGGCGAGGGTCATCGTTGTGCCACTTTTAGCCGTAAGACTCTTAAATGAAGCATACATGAAGTGAAAACAACAATTGTTCGAATACCAGGCACTGACTGAAGGTACAATGTGTGGTTCCAGAAAATATCCATACCTCCCCCACAGATGGTTAATGGAAATTCCTAGGGGATGGGGGGGCTAAAGGGTAGAATTTTCCGAGGGGTACAGGGGGTGCCCACGAGAATAATTTTCCACAGGGTTGTAAAAGACGCGATCGATCATAAGAGACATACTTAAGTATATGTGGATTACTTTGATTTGTAGCACAACAAAAATTAGAAGTAGATGCCCTTTCGAGAAAGAAAACTTCAAGA